TATACGCGTCCGACCGGTGAGAACGGGGACAGCCGATAGAGATGCAAGCGGCTAGCGTTAAAAGCTATCGCTGGCGCGGCGCCATTTGCGTCACAAGATTAAAAGATCGGCCAACGGGGAAGCCGACGGCGGGGAACAACTCTTCTCTTCTTCCACACCGTTGTCACCCAACCAATTTGGTGGGATGGTACCACCACTGCGCGGCTAGGTGTCACCCACGGTGGGTGGATTTGGATTTTCGGCAGTCACTGGAAGCATTAGCAACGCGCTGGACGCTCGCATCGCTAATCAGTAACTACCCCGGGGGAATGGGCTTGCTACGGCAGGCGTCGTCTTTGACGCCGGTTTTCTCACGGCCGCCAACTTCCGGTGATCTCCTTTACTACTTTCGGTTCGGGTTTCGGATCGGTTTCGAGCTGCAGGCGTCTTCTCGAAAGGGCGAGCTGTTGTACCACGGATCAAGCGGTCAGCCCCCTCTTCTCTGCCGCCCACAGCCTCAGTACACAAGACCTGTTCGGCTAAGCTAATTACACTCAACCTCGTACTGTGCACTCGGTCAATCGGCTTCGGTTCGGGTTTCGGGGTCGGTTCGGGTTTCGGTACTACACTAACTGGTAATATTTCGGGCATCGGTGTTTTACAACTTCCCGACAAGTAGGTCGACGTTTACCGCTATCCGACAAAGAAGGTGGGGAACTACAGTGGACGGCTCCCCGCCCCTCTCAGAACTAAAAAGGTCGGAAATCACCAGACGTGCCAGACGGCGGTAGCGACGGTTTCTGCCCGTCCCCACCACCGTAAGGTTTCGACGGTTCCGTCACCAAGAGGCGGAAACTCACGGTGTCGACTTCCTATTGTCCAGAGTAAGAAGGGTGTCTCACCTATACGATCTTGGTATCGGATCGCGGAACGGCCCGAACGCCGGCGGATACACGTCCTCGTATGGCGAGGGCGGTATCAATCTCCTCGCGGGCACGGCGCACGGCAGTAGGACGGACTGCGGCGACAGCACGGAGCTGTGGACCAGCGGGGTGACCGCGTGGAGACGACGCACCTGGCGAAGAGTCGTACTGCAACCGGCAAGATGGGTAAATCCCCCGTGACGACCCGGACGGGCCAATCCCAGGAGATTCGGTAGGCGAGGAAGAAGAGAGACGGGCAATGGGAGTGCCCAACGAAAAGGGCCTACTAGAACGAGAGGCTGACACGCGACAAGTCGCGCAGCCGGAAACAACCGAATTGCGAGTACACATTGCCATGACGCCGACGCGAAAGACTACAGCGGTACTTCAAACCGAAAGCCAACAACAACCAACAACGCAACGGATCTCGCACCCAGGGAAGAAAAAAGCGCCGAGGACGCCAATGTAATACTTGGTATTCGGGATCTGTTGATGACCCAATTACCCAATCAAATGCAGAGCTGTGCGGCTCTGCATTACCAAGGTTCTGCGCTAGGTTCGAAGGTTCTTGTCTCTTATGGATGCTTGATTGTCTTTGCGGATGTCGTCGAGGAAGGCAAATGACAGATAGCTGTTGAGGAAACTTGTTGTTGATTCGTCTCTAGACGGCTGCTGCACCCGACACAGCTGCATACCAACACTGCTGTTGCTGTTCAACCTATCCACGCACACCCATGCTGAACTCAACCTCTGTCTAGATCTCTGCCGTCGAACTGGTACTCAACACATCCCGGTTAGCTCTCTCTTCTCTGAACTCATGCATTTGACACAGAGCCAACTTCATGCAAACACACACATCATCTCGGAGAATAGCTAATTAGATGCCGAATCGTAACGCCAACACACCATAAACCGGGGACAAGGTCCAAACAGCCCCTGAAACAAGCCTACTTCGTACCACATTTAACCCACTCGCTTCCGCGTAGTCCGGTCCTATGCCCGGGCCCACTCCGGCTGGTCTCGCAGGATTCGCTCACGATCTGCTGGCCCAGCCGCCTCCCAGCAGCTGCCGTGGTCCTTGCCTACCATCTCTCGCTTGCTGCTGGAGAAATCCCCGCCACCGCCGAGCGGCAGCGTGGGTTGGTCTCGCGTGGCGGCAACCCAGCCGCCACTCCTGGCTGCATCCGCCACGACGCTGCCAGGCTCCTTCTTCTTCATCGACTCCTCCACGAGGGCCGCCAATTGCGAAATCTGCTGTTGCAAACTTGCAAGCTCTGCATCGCGACCCTCCTCCACCGGCGAGCGGATCTGTTGTCCGCTCGCAGCAGTGGGCACCTCATCTCCGGCAGAGCTCATCCCAATGTGGCTTCCCTCGAGGGGCAAAAAACGAGTGTTTGCGGCCTACGCCACTTATTTATCGGGTGAGACTATTTTGGTGGTGTATTCACTTCTCGAGAGGTAGACGACCGTTCTTCACACGGACGAAAGAGGGAGTGCCCCACATGGGCAGCTCGTACACCAAGGAGGGGCCCCGTGACTCATCGCGGTGCCCCCTACCAAATGGCAATCTTACCAATCTGCGTAACACCAAATCATGCAGCACATGATCCAACACCAATGTTCGCAGACCCACGAACAGTTTGCGTGTACCTTTTTGTGAGAAAGTTCGCGTTCAGCGGCGCTGATACGCATGCGGCGGTACAGTCGGTTTCTTGGTGGTGCTGGTTGGTTGTTCGTGCACAGAAGAACATAATACTTCGGCGGGAGTGCTGGAAGTCGACTACCCGCTACCAGCAAGGGAGGCGGAGGCCTTTTCAATGTGTTTTGTACAAGACGGAGACAATGCCGCCTGAGCCTCGTACAGGTTGGTGCCCAATGAGCTTGTCGACCGCCAGACGCTCGACTGGCGTGGAGACGCCGTCCGCGGTAACATGGTATCCACGGGGATCTGGTCGTGTAGTTGTTCAAAATGTACCGAGTGAGACTTTCTTCCAAGAACTCTGTCTGGCACATCTCCACTTTCGTGCAGGTTCGCAAGGTTTACAACGAGCGACCGATACACGGCCAGGATTTTGAAACGCCCGGTCCAGTTCATGGACGACATAGCTTTGAGGACCTTCGGGTCTGTGCCAGCTTTGACGCCTTGGTGAATCGTAGCTACCGAGTTGTACCCACACCAAGGTGCCGACGGCGCACACCGGCAGATTGTGTGGAGCATCGGTGTTCGTGGAATTCTGGCGTTGTAAGCCGGAACCCATCCGGGTGTGCTGTTCGCGGACCAGCTCATATGACCGGTGCTGGCGATCAGCAGCGAGATCGCATTATTCGAGGTGGTCACGGTCGAGGCTCTGGTGACAACGGGCGTAGGTGTTGGAAGAAACGGTGTGCGGAAACCGCGGGAGACGAACCATGTGAATTTTGTCCGGAGCCAACCCAGTGGCGGCGCTCACGGAACTATTGTGACGCGAGGAAGGTCTCCCAATCGCCCTATCGATCGCATTGCAAGCATCTAAGCCACCGTGTGGTTGACACGCTCAACCACGCCCTTCCCGTTAGGGAGGTAGACGTTGTGGCATTATTACGAAGTTTGAGAAGCGTGAGGATAAATGTAGCAAGAGAGCTTTTAACGTAACTGTGGTCCATTGTCAGAGACAAGGCTGAGGGGACATCCTCGCACAGGAATGCATTTATTTGCTGACGAGCATGTCATCAGCGGTACTCTCCGTACAATCGACGGACGTCCCAGGGTACATGTTCGCTCGTCGGCTGAAACGATCCGTGAAAAGGAAGATGCACGCATCACCTCTCGGTGTCGGAAATGATTGTTTGCAGGCAGTGCTCACACCAAGTTTCCACACAACTTTGGCTCCTACGAGTTTGCGGCAGTGGTATCACACCTCCTGGTTACCACACCCCCGTCATGGCTCCCGCTACCTGCATATTATCACCCGGGTAATACATAATAGCACCCCCCCCCACAGAGTACAACACCCGGTTACATGGTTTTTAATCGCCACATGTACCAAAATGTTATCCTGGGTTGTATAGGTTTTTCATCTTGTGTAGGTTTGTTGTCTTGTGCCATATACGGCATGCTCTACCGACCCGCTGATGGAGCTTCTCAAGCATGCATAACGTGCGCGAAGCCCCGTGGCGGCAAAGACCGTCGGTATCGCATGCTTGCATGACCCATGGTCGCATAAGCGTCGGGACGTAGACGTGCGTGGGCTCTTCATTGAGGAGACGCGCAGAGCGACCACCAGGCCGTCCGGATGTAGACGACGTGAGTTTCGTCAGCCCGCGCACAAGGTGTGCGTTGCCATCGTCATCGCAAATGACAACGTGATTTCTGCCAAAGGGCGTAGATGTCCTCACGGGAAGGACGTGGTGCCGAAGTGGATTCGTCGAGGACAGTCCGGCGCAATTTCTTGGGGAAGGGTCCTTGAACCCCTACTCTCCACGAATCTCTACCATACCACACACGTGCAAGGAAAGTTTTCCAGGAAATTCATTCCTTCCCTCACCAACCACCATCTCCGTGGATGTATGTGCAGTATTTCTCCGAAATACTATGCTGTATATATATCGAATACCCCCGTCCTGCTCGTATTCATGGTATCCAGCGGCAATATATCAATGTCATTCTTTTCCATACCAACTCTCCTGAAGACAACAAAAAAAGAATCGCCGAAAACCGAAACACGGACAATACTAGGTCCCCACAACAAGCGAAACCTCTCAAAACACAAAAGACAACGAAGATTCCAGCCATCTCTCTCTCTCTCTCTCTCTCTCTTTCTCTCTCGCTCTCTCATTCTATTTATCCATCTCTGTCTCCCTTTATCTCCCTCCCTTCATGCCCAACACGACTCCAGTAGCTAAAACTCTTCTCTCAATGCACACATTCACCACAATATCTCGGTTCAACGCGAAAGACTCATTGCTTTTCGCCTTCGTCAACAAGTCGGCATCATGGATTCCCACGCAACGTGAGTAGTGGAAACCTCGTTCCTCTCCACCTGCTCACTGATTCAGTAACGCCGGACATCGATGTTCTTTGAGTTGGAATTCGTGATCGGGTTGTGCGCAATCTGAATCGCTCCCTGACTGTCCTCGAAGACCGGAATGCACGGCATATCCGCACCTGGCAACATGAAATGTCAACCCCGCCTCAACAACAGAACCTCCTTCCAAGACGTCGGCAACTGCCACATACTGCTTCCGTTGTCGAAAGCGTACCTCACTTTTGCATCCCAGAAAACCATGTCACTCACCCACCCCAACACATCACTAGGCATCCTGATGACCTCCTGCCTGCCATCTTGCTTGCATAGTCGGCATCAATAAACACTTCCATGCTCATGCCAGTCACTACTCCCCTCTGCGATGCAATCGGCATCCACCTCGTCCTAAGCTACGTGCCATCATCAGTGGGCAACAGCAAAGAATTATGTGGTACACCGTGAGTTCCCCCTCTCCACGCGACTCTTATTAATAGGGTTCTACTGCTTCACGACCACATAAGAATATGTACGTAGTGCTTCCGGCCAACGCTACGTTCCTTGACTTGACCAATACAATTTCTTCCGATCTACCAAAGAGCGGAGAAAACTGAAGCAGCACCAAGTGTCAGTAAGACTCTCGATAATAGAACCCCCCCCCGGCAAATAAATTAAACACACGTTCTTCGAAGGTGTTACAAAAGGTGGTACAAATACGCCTGCGTGCTTTTTTCTCGGCCGTAGACATTTTTGACAGCAGTTACATTGGAGACTACTACACACGCCCCACCTTCAGAGCTCCCTTGTTCCTCAGGCTTACAACAGCAACAAGGTAGTCCTACGTACGTCAGCATTAACAACGCATGCTTCACCAACCCGAAATTTATTTCCGGGCACAATGCGACCGACGTACAGGAACTGAGTGCCGTGTTGAGAAGATCGAGCTCCTCGTGAGCAGATGGCCCGTCATGTCTGCTCGATCACACCACGCTCCTTCGAGCTGCTTGTTCCACCGAGAAGAGTTGTTCTTGAATTTGCTTGAACTGCTCTGTTTCTCTAAACTTGAGATAGAGATTTTCCCTTAACATGTTGCTGACTTGTTTCGTCGCTTTGTCCAGAAGGTGAACTTTTTCATCCTGGAACCCGATGAAGTAGCAGAACGCACCACGGGACGGGCAACGTCACAAGAAAACGGGCATAGCATTCGTGATGCAGGTGCAGGAAACATTAGTGACCTCGAGCCAGGTGTGTTTCCTATCCAGGCGTTCGTTGTCGTTGTTGCTGGGCATACCTGCCTGCAGAGAGCACTACCCCCACCCTTCAGTTCCGGATGTCGATGCGCAAACGTCTGGTTAGTGTTCCACTCCCCACCCCTTCCGAGTAGATTGTATGAAGCAGGCCGTGTGAGAAAATCAGCCAAGGGGACGAAAATGAGTGCAAGAATACTGGACTCACCAGAGTGAGGCGTCTGAAGCTTGCACGGTCCACCTCCCTGAGAATCTCGTCTCTGATTTTGCTCTCGATGTTAACTTCGAACGGAGAACCCTCCCGAATGTATTTGTCTACAATCGCCGCGAACTGCTCGAAATTGAGATTTTCCTCGCACTCGACGACACCCATTGCAGCAGGCGAAGGATCGGCGCCAGCAGAAGTAAATTTTGATACGGCATGAAGAGAACAGTTGAACTCGTCCGCGTCCACCAGAAACATGAGCGACTGAGCATGGTGCAATAACCAGCGAATGCCAACAAACGTTGCGGCAGATGGGAAGGGTAGCTGGGAACAACAATCTATCTTGGGGACATCGAGTGATTTCTAGGAAATGACATGTTTTTTACCGACGGAGGTGGCTATCCACACCAAGTTTCGTCCTTGGGGGCGTGATGGGTAGTGATGGGTAGATTATTCCCTACAGGAAATTCAACATGGAGGGAACGCCGATGAAAGCTGTGCGTCACGTGGCTCACGGCGTCTAGGCAAAATACTCACCTCGCTGCACAAGGCGTTGCGGCAGTACTCTTCAAACGCCTGAAAATGGCAGAGACGCACTCGGTTGAGGCAAGGGCGGATGGTGATGGACTTTGAGCGTACGGTCAAAGCAAGGGCATAATCGACCACGATCACAATGCGATTTCGTAAGGGACGGAGCAGATCGGGCCTCCGAGAATTAAGTTGTTGTTTGGCATAAAATTTTGGTGCGTATGTATTGGGGGATCGCTGGCAGACAGCGGCACTTGCAAACCATTATCGGTAGGTTTTCTGCGCACCGCACAAGCAGCGCTATATACGCGACAGGGTCCTTTGCAGCTCGGCGAGCCTTGGAAGATACGAAAGGCGGTACTATCGGCTGACCCTAGGTGTCTTGCTACATGATGAGGAGGATTGCACGCATGGGGGGAGGGTGCGTGCTTGTGCCGCACCTCGAAAACAAAAGCTCAAGCAACAAGTGGCGGTTTTGACGTGACCTTCGATGTCCGTCTTCACAAAGTAAACGAGTATTTGGGAATCAATCAAAGTCCGAACTGGCCGGGCATGGAAGCAGACCGCCACAGTTTGGGCTACGTGCTTCGCATCGCTGAAGATACAGTTGCTGATGCTTCCGCTAGAACGAATCCGATATTGACTCGAACCATTGGATACTCTTTCAACACTGCTTCAACCAGGAAAAATTTGCTACGACCAGCTGCTGTGTCGTCCTCCAGCGAAGCTAGAAGGGGACTTCAGTTTCAATATGCTCAGAAGGGATCTCCTGCAGCGCAAACCTGGGCTTCGTTCAGACAACAGACACGAAGGCGCAGTCGGATACGGGTGATAAACATGCCTGGAATAATGGTGGGAATTGGATGATCAGATCCAGCACGGTTCCACCCGCAGAGCTGGCGGCCTGGGACCGCAAGGTGTAACTGGCCTCGACTGCAACTTTGCGGCTCCCGTGCTTCGTCCACGGGATGTACGGGAAGAGTAGAGAGATGAAGCCCACAGTTTCCTTTGCCGGCCCCCTCAGTAATGCGGCCCGCACAGGTTGAATGTTGCTGGGGTGCATGAGAGAGACAAGGTTCATTGGTCATCGCGAGGGCGTGAGTAGTAGATGAAGAATCGAACCTTGTACAGCGCATGGTCAATGTGTTGCCCTCTACTGGACTTGGCCGCAACTCTTCCAACAGCAAGCTGGGCAAAGGGTAACTCAACAAACGAGAGTCACCCACATGTACGTCTCAACTACACGTACTGTAGGAATAGAGGTGGCTCGGATCCGACACAACGCCTTCGTGTTCTTTGGGCCCCCGAGCAAGACGCTCTTGGGCCACTCTAGTGCAACATCGCGACTCACGTAAACCACAAGGAAGGTTGGAATCGGACGGCCATCCACAGGACGACGACGTACTTTGTCGACTTCGTGGCCACAGTTACAGACGCCATTACTTCGCGCGTACATTAATGAACAGACAGAGGCAGCGCGAAAACCAATGATATACTTCATTATTTTAATTCTTGGTGGGCTGTAGCAGGGAAGACATCGAGAAGGCACCGGATGACCAAGGAATTCGCTTGACAAGGGAAATACACAAAGCAGTAAAATGAGGAAAAGTAGGAGGGAGAGATTCGGCTATCGAACGTGATACATGAGACGAACGCCGAATACGACCCGCGGGGTAGAGCAATTGACGTTAAACCAACACTTCAAAAGATGGAAACGTCAACGCTGCATGTCCTTGAACCACGCCGAAGCCAATATGCGCCGAACAGAAGCATTGAGAAATACCCAGACTCGTTGGGTGTGACGGACAATACTCTCGTTGTAGGGAGGCTACAGTGGACGTCGTTATGCCTGACCAGTATTTGTGTATGCAGTGCCTCACTCGTATCTGTGAATGCAGTGACTACTTCTCACCTACGAGCTTGCGATGGTCCCACGGTAGACAGATCTTTCACCGCATGGTAGCACTCTGCGTCCAAAGGTTGTTTGTCGGCCTCTAGTGGTGATCTTGTCACAAAGAATTTTGATATAGGGATATGGTGGAAAAAGAAGTCACATCAAGTACTCACCAAGCGCTGCCATCGCAAAGATGCCCACTTTTTGAATTTCAAGTGACATGTCGAACACATCTTTTGTCTTCCTCAGTTTGCCGAAAAGCACGAGCGATGCGCCTAAAGTGAGAAGGGTGTCCGCTACGACCACCCCGAGCGTGAAGTAGGCTATCCTGTGGTGGCATAGGGCAAGGACCCACATTCGCCAGCACGAGGGAGCGGGCCGCTGAGTGGTGATGGTTGACTTGGAGGTTTGAGGTTCACAAATGTTCCGCTGAAGGTGTCCTTACAGTGATATGTCCGTGGCTGGCACCAATTCAGAATCCAGGCTACAGCAGTGGCAGGAGGTACAGATAGGGCCCGGAGACAAGAAACGTCAAGATCGGGTCGAGCCTCAATGTCTTATTCCGGGCAAAATGACCAGCCAAAGTCGGACAATTTTTAAAAGGATTTCTCATTGCTTCGGTCTGTCGCATCCTGCTGATTCTCTTATTTCTTCTGTTTTTATCGCTGATGGTGAAGCAAACAACAACACATCAAGACTTCATGCAACATCAAACACACAGCACGGTGTGGCTATCATTGGGGGTTGTGCCAGCAGACAGCAGCAGTCCGTAACGCAGCCCGCGGCGGCGCTGGGGCACGGGGGGCGCCGCGCGAAAATAACCACTCCCTTCCCCTACCAAAGCATTACATGGCATGAGCTAGGTAAGGGGTGGGACCATGGCAGCAGCAGCAGCATCAGCAGCAGAGTGGGGCGCTTCCTTCGACACGCTTCCCTAGCTTCTAACCCTCGTTTCTTTTGCCTTGGAGTATCGCACGATCATGTTTCTTCTTGAGACGTTTCTTATGTCGTGGCCGAGATTGAGCCTTGTTCTTTAGCCCTTTTCTCTTATTTTCTGTTAAAAACTGAGCCTTTTTTTCATTTTTTTTTCTTAACGGCGGGCCCTCTCTGTACACGTTGTCCCGTTTATTGCTGGTGTCAATGTGTGTACGTAGGTGAGACTTCATATTGTCTGTGTCGACATCAATCGGAGCATGCCATATCGCGACAGCCGGGTACTCCAATGCACAAACTTGACGTCGCCCCTGTTTTTCTACAGCATCGGACTACTCAACCGAGAAGTAGCTCAAGCGGGAAACTTTTGTTTCTATTTTCGCCGCATACTAGTTGAGTAGCGCCCGGCAAAGGTAGTACTTGCCTTTTTACCCCGACTATCCCGGTGGCAGACCAGATCACGATCTCGAGAAGCACAAGGGAAACAAGCGATGTCCGGACCATCAAGGATTCCTTGACAAATTTCCCGAAGCGCCCGCGCATAGCAGGATTGTTCATGACAAGCAGCCGGAAGCCTCTCATGGCGTACACCCCGGTGTAAGCCATGAGCAACATTGGCGCCAAGACAAGGTCAACCGCTGAGGCGTCCGTGCTAATCTCCAGGATGAAGCGGTAGATGGACACGGTTATCATAATAACGCCGGAGCAGCCCGACAACGTAGCTAGGACAGGTGACCTGGAAAAGGGTGCATACAGAGGGGAGATGTAGTGCGGTTGTTGGACAAAACAATGGTCTAATAGAACGTAGACCAAAAGCACAGCAGTCAATTAGTCGGGCACGTAGACCTAAACTACAGCAGTGGAGCCGGATGTACAGGTTGGAGAGTATTCGTACAGCGACATTGTCTGCGAAATTTGGTGCTTCACCCTGGTACACTCGCGATAAAAATACCCCAGGCAGGAACCGCAGGAGGGGGTCCAGCCCCCCCCTCCTATGTGACCCCGGTTGGGTCGTCTAGCTAGTGGAAGTGGAGGATAGGGGCCAGAGGGGCAGACGACAGAATCCGATGATGGGAGGTAAAAAAAAAAAAAGTAACTACAGTACTGGGCCCGCTATAGTGCCGATATGTGCCCAGAGATAATATCGGCACTATTGAGGGCACCGGCACTGATCAGAATAGTGCCTCAATAGTGCCATCGGCACTATTGAGGTTTCGAATATCTCTCAATAGTGCCGGTCCGGCACTATTGAGGAGATGTTTGATTTCATGCTGTGGCGCTCATGCGTTGCGGGGCTAACAGAGTACGAAATGGATCAAACTTAGTGAAGGTCTACCGTGGGCGTAGGCATCCTTTCTCGCGGCAAGTATGGTTCCCCCCTGTCGCACACACAGAGGGCGAGTTGTAAAAAATATTTACTTGCGTTGCACCATTTTTTTCTGCCTGCCTCAGCACATGAACTGTACTGCACACACACCCTGAACTGTCGAAACTGCTGTTGACGGCAAGAGGCTTGCAAAGCTCCCGTTCGTACAGAGTGGACGGGGCTATATCTCAGCCCTAGAGCCCCTCCTTCGATGTTGCAAGATACAAAAGACAAAACAGAAAAGAAACGCGACAGGATTTCGAAGCGCACTGCAAGAAAACAAAAATCAATACTACTGCACTACAGTTGTATCTCCCCCCCAAACTACGTCGCGACACTGGAGGAGTGTCTGCCTGGCGTACCCGCTTCGATGTTGCAAGAAAAAAAAAAAAACTACAAGTACACGACAGGAAGCGAACGGCAAGAAAAAGAAACAACCGTGAACTCTACGTCGCGACAAATCCTCTCATATCTGTCTGGCGCACCCGCCTAGCGGAATGCGCTGCGATCATCGACATCTTGCTTTCGTTAGGTAGAACGCCGCGCCTCCGTTGCCACTGTCCTCTGCTGCCACTTCCAGGGCGCCGAAGTGAGACGACAGTAGTTATTCATAACCCGGTGGCGCACGTGGGGCACGGCGCTCGCGCCCCGTGTTCTCACCGCCGCGGCCCAGGTCCTGTTCGNGAAACGCGACAGGATTTCGAAGCGCACTGCAAGAAAACAAAAATCAATACTACTGCACTACAGTTGTATCTCCCCCCCAAACTACGTCGCGACACTGGAGGAGTGTCTGCCTGGCGTACCCGCTTCGATGTTGCAAGAAAAAAAAAAAAACTACAAGTACACGACAGGAAGCGAACGGCAAGAAAAAGAAACAACCGTGAACTCTACGTCGCGACAAATCCTCTCATATCTGTCTGGCGCACCCGCCTAGCGGAATGCGCTGCGATCATCGACATCTTGCTTTCGTTAGGTAGAACGCCGCGCCTCCGTTGCCACTGTCCTCTGCTGCCACTTCCAGGGCGCCGAAGTGAGACGACAGTAGTTATTCATAACCCGGTGGCGCACGTGGGGCACGGCGCTCGCGCCCCGTGTTCTCACCGCCGCGGCCCAGGTCCTGTTCGTCCTCCTCGTCGTCGCCGCCGGTAGACAAGTTCGTTCCAGCCAGCAGTGCTTTCATGTCTTCCACCGCGTCCAATCGAAGAGCCTCTACCACCTCCTCGTCATCCTCGATGGTAGCCCGCCCCTGAATCGCGGCCACCGCCTCCCCCGCGACCGGCTTTCCGGGTTCGATGTTGAGTTTTGCCAACAGTTCGCTGATCTCCTCGTTCACGACGCGGGATCCCTGCTTCTGCGCGTCCTGCACGCTCGTGCTCAACGTGTTGACAGTCTCTGCGAGAGCCTTTAGGTCAGGCTCGGCAACGTTGAACCGGGTCTTTCCGTGTTGCTTGGTGAGCTCAGCCCCCATCTCCTCCGGAAGCGTCTCGGCTTTGACAAAGCACCTGGCCAGGTAGCGCAGAAATTTTGATGTATCCGTGTTTGGGTGGAGAAGCGATGTTAGACGAACCCAGTGACAAACAANTAGGTCAGGCTCGGCAACGTTGAACCGGGTCTTTCCGTGTTGCTTGGTGAGCTCAGCCCCCATCTCCTCCGGAAGCGTCTCGGCTTTGACAAAGCACCTGGCCAGGTAGCGCAGAAATTTTGATGTATCCGTGTTTGGGTGGAGAAGCGATGTTAGACGAACCCAGTGACAAACAATGACTCATCATAGGGATGCGAGAGAGGGCCTTTTTTTAGCAAACAAGGAGATTTCCGGTTGCAGGAATATTCAGTCGAAAAATAAAACCTATCCGTGCAATTTTACCCACGTTACGTACCACCAACGCCATGCGCACTTACACATTTTTAACAGTGATATCACGTTTTCAAACCTCACCTGGCGATGTCTTGGGCGGTGACGCTGGCCCATGCTTTCGAAAGAAGTTCAGCGGCGTCCCGCACGTGAGGTTGGTGGCCTTGCGCTAGCCCCATTGTCCCGGCCTTCATCTTGCGGGCTTTGGTCTGGGCGCGAAGTGTGTCAGCCACCAACATGGTCGATGTCTTCACATGGGCCTCCTTCCTGTAGTTGACCTTCGTCTTGGCGATGACCGCAAAACCCATGGGTTGGTGTACGGCGGTGCACAGCGGAGGGTAGGTCTTGACGGTAACTCGCTCGCGATCATCCACTAGATCACTGTGAGACGAACAGCCGTCCATCAGCAGCAGCACAGGTTCGTGAGTGAAGCGCCGAACGAACGGGAGGAAGACTTCCAGCCACCACTTGAGCAACGTCGCGGAGTAGGACCACGCGTTGGTCTGCGAGAAGTACTTCAGAGGTGAACCCCCTTTCTTGAAGCAGCGGGGTTCCTTTGCCCTCCCGATGATGGCCATGTCAACCTTCGCAGTGCCGTCGGCATTGCAGCACATGATGGCAGACAGTCGGTCCTTGAAGTGCATGCTCTTTGAGCCCCGCGCCGTCTTCCGATCCTCCGAGGTGGAAAGGTACGTGCGCCTGGGCATGAGCTTCTACTGGAGGCCTGCCCCGTCGACGTTGAAGATGAACCCAGCCGGGTACTTCTCGTAAAGGGCCCTGATTTCCTCCATGCCCTTCTTGATGGCCTCCTTGTCGACGCTACCAGTCTCGCCATGAAGTCTCACGCTCTGGATCTTGTTGCGCTTCACGAAGTTCTTCGCCCACCTCTCGCCGGCCTTGAAGTCCTCCACCCCCTCCCTCACTGCTGCAGAAGTTGCGGTGTCAGCCAGCAGGGTTGCCCTGGCAGAACGGCCGAAGCTTCGAAGGACATCGCGTGTGACGGGCATTATGGCCTTTCGGGCTTTTTCGAGTAGATCAAGAGCTATCTCATCCACCTGCCTCCAAAAAACGAGTAAACAACGCAGAGAGTGCAAAAGATCGAACGGTTAGTTTCGAACGTAAGCATGCTAACCTACACTGCGCGGCGCGGGCAGGCGGACGAAGCGTACCCTGTTACACTAAGCTCACACGTTCGAGTATTGTTCCCAATTGTGCGCTAGTATGAAGTACACTTGGACAAAAATGCGGCAGGTACAAACAAGAAGCGCTGCGTGTTGTAGTAGTTTACTGGTCTAAAATTGAAAAGAGGGTGTGTGCGAGAGCACAAGGAACGAATGGATTGTGAAGGCGGAGAAAGAAGAAAAACGAGAGACAAAAAAAAGGAAAGAAAAAAGCCGAAAAAAGACAACAAACCAAAGGAGAAAGAACGGCGAAAAAAAAATTGGACATCCAGCAGCGAACGAACCAGGCTCGAAAAAAAAAAGGCCGGCAAAAACAATGGCGGGGGAAATAACCCATCGTCACAGCATTGCATGTAGCGCACCTCCGGAAAATCTCCTTTGCGTGCAGTTTTCTGGCTGCCGCAGCCTGCAGCAATTGCTGTCTCCACCTTCTTCTCCCGGCCAGTCTTCACGGTCCCCATAAACCGAAGCGAGCACTTGAAGCGGTCTGCAATCTGTGCGTGAGACGCCTTCTGATCCAGCATCTTCAGAATCTCGAGCTTCTTGTTGTTGTCCAGCCTTGTGTGTGTTTTTATTTATTAGCATCGACCGCGCTAACCGGCTGACCAATGAAAAGACGTCAGTCTTAGTGCGGTTGAAAACACAAAACACTTCTATCTACCATGAACTGGGACCCCGTGAGGGGGCAGCATGGGGGAGGCTAAACTATCCTTCGGATTAAAAACAGAAACAGCAGCAACAGACGAAAAATGCACGCGTCTACCAAGGCTATTACCTAGTACTCGAGTTCGTTTAGGAGTACTTTCACCAGT